AGGCACTCTCTTGCGAGTCTGAGTGCACCTCTCTTGGATCTAAGAGTCTTAAATCTATCTCTATCTTCCCTTCTAAAATCTAAGTCTAGTCTGTGGTTCTGAGAGGAAGGCGGCAGGCGGGATTGCAACCCATAGGACCGCAGCAAGACTCTGTGGGGAGTCATCCCACCGATTGCGGGAGCTCTGCCGGAACTCAGGAGGAGTTCTGGAGGCAGGGAACTGAGAGGTAACCATTCCTTTCCCTCTATATACCCTAGTATAACCCCTACCTGTATGTCTTGCTATGTTTGACTGAGTATACGGTATGCACCCCTATTTTGACTTTCAGTTTGACTTTCATGACATGAATCAGACTAAATAAAGGAATGTGTGAGAAAACTCAGTTCCAGTTTCTTTGATTGACTGAAGGCAGACTTGTTCAGGAAAAGCGATTGCATCCGGGGGAAGGGTGGGAGAAAGGTGGTTTTGCTTGAGCCTGAATGGGTCCTATGGGGTCAAACCAGTTCCATAACATTGGACGGCCTGACCACTATGTTTTATTTTTGAATTGCATGGAGAGTCAAACCAGTTCCATAAGATTGGACGGTCTGATTGCTCTGAATTGTCAGGGTTTGACCGTGACTGACTTTTCGGGAGCCAAACCTGTACCATAAGATTGGAGGGTTTGGTTGCCATGTTTGGTCGGGGTTTGTTCTGTTTTTTTTGTTTTTGGTTGAGGAGGTCTGAGCAAGTCCATAAGATTGGACGACTCAGCCCCTTCCTGTTTCATTCTGAGGGATTAATTCTCGCTGAGGTCAGGGCATGTCCGTAAGATTGAACGGCCTTGGACTCATTCCACACACAGTGGATCAGAGAAAAACGAACCTGACAAAGGACCAGATGTGTTCCATAAGATTGGACGGTCTGGCCCAATGCCTTGCACATGCTGGAACCCAAAAGGTTAAATTTTGGCTATATTTTATATTATTCTATTTATGAAGAGGCTAGCTAAGCATGGGTTCCATAAGATTGGACGGCCTGGCTATAGCTTATCATGAAATGAAGAGAGTATAACTAAGAGTATAATTGAAGGAAACCTTGGGCAGGCGGGGCCTTGTTCTAAGATGAACGACTCAGTCCTATGCCCAACTTTTGAACACCAAGCTTAGAGAAGTATATATAAGTTGGATATTAAACAGTTCTGGGCGACCAAACCTTGTTCTAAGATGAACGGCCTAGTCATATACCCAAAAGTAAGAGAGAAGTAGTTGTGCAACCTGTTCGTGTATACTCATTGGCTGAGTCAGGCAAGTTCCATAAGATTGGACGACTTGACTTTATGCCCTATGTAAGCTGGGTAAAAGGGAATAAAACATTGAGAGATTACGAACTATTGTCTGCCAAATTGGTTTGGGGATGGTGAGAGTACTTACCTTTGTGGTTTGGCCTGCATGAGACTGAGTGAGACTACTACTTGGTTTGAGTATCAGGTTGACAGGTAGTTGCTTTAGAGGCTCGCCTCGTGCTAGAGCGATAGGAGTTAGCATCAATTCCTGCATTTTCCGAGCTAAGTTTTTTTATTAAGATCGATTTTCACATTTTCTGAGATCTTTTGTTATACTTGGCTTTGTATAAATTTTGGTAAGCTACTTTCTCCACGGGAAGCGCTGCCGAAATTTTTGCAAATCCAAGGAGTTAGTCAAATTTTGACTTATCAAAGTTAAACTTGTCTAAGGTTTATATATGACTTAGTAAAAATATGGAAAGTTTTTTTTTCTAAAGGGAGTGCTGCCAAAATTTTTGCTACTTCAGGGAGTTAGACAAAATTGGACTTTGGAAAGTCAAAGATTATTTTTGACTTCATATTTGGGCTGATGGAAATTCGAAAAAGACACTTTTACTACGGGAAGCGCTGCCGAAATTTTCTTAGTTTAAAGGAGATATATTATATTTTGATAGGTGGAGATCTTGGCAATCCACCCTGTACCAAGGTCTACCTTTGCTTCAGGCACTGCTTGGGGTTAGACTTAGGCTTAGTTAATTAGGATGATTTAAGTGAGATCGTGATATGGGGATTATTCTCCATGAACTTTTAGATTTAGCCGTGGGTATTGACCTGTCTTATGTTACAGGTCCTCTTGATCGATTGATTCAGGACTTGGACCAGGTTCAGCTTGATCCTAAGAGCATCACCTTCTGTTATCACTGATAACAGGTCGGTTGCCGATTTGTCGGCTTACGATTCAACTCCAATCCACTCTTGTCACTCAACCTAAAGGCTTTAGCCCTGTGGTTTGAATTGTTTCATTGTGTTTTTACCCGGACTTTATTGAATGGCCATTTAACAAAAGTACTGAGTATTTATTTTGGGGATTTGCACAAGAGTGAGGTTTGTGTGGCTAAAGCGAGGGGTATGAGCATAGAGAATGGTTGAAGTTGAGCCCGTGTAGTGTGTGGACCTTTGTTGTACCTTTGATGTGATTGCTGGTATGTTTTGTGGTTCGGCTTCTAGATGCGATTGCCTACGATTACATATATATGTGGCTGAGAGGAGTCCCACTGTGACTGTGAAAAGTGATCGTCCTATATAAATAAGCCTTTTATATATATATATAACTATATGTGCCTTGGGTATGTGCGCGACTTACTGAGATCGTGCGCAAAGGGTTAACCAGACTATGATTGAGAGAAAAGGGAGACCCCCTTTATTCTTTGCTTTTTACAGTTTGTGTGGTTGGACGTTGTAGTCCGTGGCAGCCGTCAAAGTCAAACCCCTTGACTTCCGCCCAGGCCTGGAGGGGGACTCATCTCCAGGGCAGTAAGAAACGACTGCCACCACAGGTATGGATCTGTGTACCACCCACTCTGCACAGGGTGCAAAAGAGGGTGTGTGGTCTTCAACCGCGCATGGCGGTTGTCCAGCGTCGAGAGATTAACCCTCAAGGCGCGTGTCAACCGATACTTGAGTGTCGAATGCGACCCTCGAGATTAACGAGGACCGCATGAGTATGGGTACTACATAGTACGCCATCACTGCGACCGCTTGCGTACGCTTGCATTGCGAGTTGACATGAGTTAGCCCTGCGTCCGCGCGGTTTTATAGCGAGTCTCGCGCGCGATGCCTGTTCGATTCATGCGTCGAAAAGTTATGGGATGGTTACCGAGGGGCTAGGAGCGTTGTCGCGTTGTTTGTGTTGTGTC